AATGGTTACAGTTAAAACTATACTATAAAGGCTCGATTGTTAAAAGATATTTTGTCTGGTATAATCAGTCTCATTTTGGGGGTTACAGTTTTTCAACCTTGAAAGTTGTTATTATGAAAAGTCAAAACTACCTTTGTATTGTAACAGCCTATAGTTAACATGCATTGTACAATCATAACTTTTCCGCCCATTGCTTCAGGATATGTACAATTTTAAGACAAGGTACCAAAGAATTATGCCAAAGAGCCTGAAGCGATTATGCCAATAATTATCAAAGAGTTTGTAAAAAAAAGGGTATGTAAATGTATCAATCAGCAGTTTAGTGAAATTAGATTTGATGTTTATTGATTGTTAGTCTCAGTATTGTATACTCAACTTTTGATTGTTTATAAGTTATTTTGTGTGTAATAAAATAACATTTAAACGTTGAAATTTTGCATTTTTCCTCCATTTCAAATTTTGGTCTGTATGTCATTAATTTATGCTCAACTGTTACACACTGTTTGGCTATAACAATGTTTTTACTTGAACCATTTATTACATTGAAAAAACATACAAAAAATTAATATATATTCTCAGATAAAACCTGTTGTTTTTTTTGACAAATTCTCATGGTCCTTTTAACTTTAAAACAAAATGGTAAACCCCCAATGCTGTATAGATAGCGGTACAAATGTTCCAATTTTACCAATAAAATATAGTTACTCCCACCGCTGACCTAATAAAGGCGGGGACACACTTGTCATACACCCTTCCGGCCCGACTCCGATCATACTGTGGTACGACTGTCGGAGAGGGGAATGTTACTTAACTTTGAACGCGGGTGTTTACACCTTTCCGACACGCGTCACGTCATACTCCGATCCTACTCAGATTTTAACTCCGATCACGCACCGACACTGTAGTCAATTCGTTTGTCGGATGCAGGACGGGTTGTTTCTTAAGAATCACCTTTGTTCTTAAGGTTTAAAAATAATGGTTTAAGATAAACCACGGCGGTTAATATATGCCGATGATTGATGTGAAATCTGTGCATGCATACCTTCAATTCAAGACCTCAATCATGGAAATCGGACGGGTAGAAGAGCCAAACGAACTTAAGAGAGAAAAACCAAAGTGTTTAATATATAAGATGGGCACTTAAGTAAACCACCTAACTTTCCTTCCATGCAGAATGAACCAGAATTCTCAGTTTTCCACTGTCCTCCAGAGATGTCTGACTTTCTTCCTCTTCATCTAGACAAACCGCCATCATGGCTAAATCCCAAAGTGCAAAGTTTTTGAACATGTTTATCACCTTCCGCACGTAGTTTACAATCAGACTGGCGAGTGTTGATCGACCCGGTGGAGGAAACCGGAGATGGGTCAGAAGCGCGTATGACATGTGTGTTCACCCCCTCCGATCCTTCTGGAATCCCGCAAATCGGATCGTAGTAGGATCGGAAGAGTGTATGACAAGTTTGTCCCCGCCTTAAGGGGTTTTCACAAGCTAGTGAGAGAAATTATTGTCTGCTGATACAGTTTTTTTTTTTCATGGCCAACAACAATCATAAAAAAGCTGCAACAAAAATTTGAATTTCCTTCTTAGGATGAGCTTGACATTGTGTTATGCTAATAGACTTTCATGCTATTGTAAATTCAGAATCATGTTAGGCTACCATTACTAGTCCTATAGGGTCGCGGCTTTATTACATAGATAAAATTCATTGGTGATTGGCGGGATTTTAACCCAGGGCTTCAGGGCTCCGAAGTCCCAGGTTCAAATCCTGGGAGAGTACCACTAGTATATTATTATAGAGTATCACTAGTAGTAGTAGTACTCTACTTCATTTTAGTGACCAGCTCGCTCCCCTCTCTATGGTGATGCAGCCAAGCCTTATCTATACTTCTATTTTAGGAGAGATTTACCCAAGTAATCAATATCTTAGTGAGGTCTACATAGAGTTATCTGAACTATAGGCTGGCTCCAAGGTAAACAGATTCTCCCGACATTGAATAATTTGCTTCCATTATTGATAAAAAATAAACACCGAGATTTTTATGACAAGATAAACTGACCTAGCCTGTTGTCCATTTTTGTTTGATAGGACGAAATAAACATTTGTCGCCATAATCTATAGTCCCACAACACGTGACTTATTCATCCAAAATGTGTTCTTGTCTTCATTTTAATGTCATATTCATTAGTAACTGTCAAAGAAACTGATGCATTTCATTAGAAGTAGAAATGGCAGAGTCAAGTGATATTATGTATTTCAAGGGCTCAAGGGTTTCAGGAAGCTAACTAATTGTTCCCAAATTATTGGAAATTTAACATTACAAAATACAATTTGTTCGAAACGTGTAAATATTGTATCAGTATTAAAACATTTAAATATTAGTTTAATTCATAAGTAAATTTCAATTTGAGGTAGTTAATCTTAAAACAAAATAAAACCTTCTGTATAATTTATTTATTTTGTGATTCCTTATAGGCAAGTTATTTTTGTAACATTTACCAACAATTAATAATACACCAAATTTTTTAGGTAGGAATATATTTGAAAAACACATAGGCATTGTAAATTTTGCAATGTTAATTTTATTCATACTACTATAGCTTTATTGTTGTCTAGACACAATAATTCTCAAACAACATTTAAATGGTCAGTTTACAGTTGACAACACAGCGTAACAGATAAAACGTGCTCAACACAATGTGAATATCCAACACTTTGGGATATAGGAATTGAACTGCGTTTATTTAACAAGGGATTCCCGTATATACGAGGATTCTCTCACAATACAAACAATGGCCAACCTAACTAATTTACGTTTTTGAATTATCTGTTTTCATGTTCTAACTAAAGTTTTTATGGTACAAATTAAGAGAGATATAGCATATTATTTTCTAAAAAAAAGTAATTTTGAACAAGATTTACAGTTTGTAACCAAATTCAAATTTAAATATTACTACCTTACATTTTTAAAATATACGATTTAAAATTGAAATTTTTATTTGCACCAACTCAGTTTATAAGCATTTGTTACAACCCCCCCCCTCAGCAAAAACCGTAACTGTACATGAGGTAATACCAAAACTAACAGGCTTTGGATTTTACAATGGGAGGAGACCTAACTCAAGTGTCTAAAATCATTATCACCCAGAAGAGTACCTTTTGATATATCTGTAAATGTATACAACAAATACTTAAAGCAGTAAACAATCTCAAATCAAATTATTAAGTTATGTACATGAATATAGGGTCAATGGAGTATAAAATATGTCATGAAAATCTTAAAGGTATGAAAAAATAGTGTAAATTTATATTACAGTATTACTGTAAACAGAATTGAATAATTTATAAATAAAAACCTTTTTTAAACAAAACTTTTCTAAACGCACTAAAAAGTAGAAAATAATTCATAAATATGTGGAGAGTATAAATACTTGTAAGATTTAAAGCAAAAAACGTGGGGTGCATGCAATAGATAATTTACAATTACCTTCACCTATTGAACTAATGTATTAATATCAATTGCATGCACCCAACGTTTTTCGTTTTAAATCTTTCAAGTATTTATTATCTCCAATATATATTTAGTTTTTAATGTGTGTGGATGTTAAATCTATTTCAAGCATCTATATCAGATTAAGACAGAGGCATGTGGGAAATCTAAGATTTATTTGAGTTTCTTTTCATATAATTATGTATTAGATTGAATGTATGGCCTACCTACTAACTATAAATATATCAATCTATTTAATTTATTGTTTATCTTTATTTTTAAATGTTTGTTTGTATAAAGAATCTCTTGGGAGCATAACCTGTACCTCTTAACCTCTGCTCTTCGAACTGTCAAATTTAAGTATTTACAGCTGATTTAAATTAATTGATATATTTACATTCTTTCAAAATGTAAACATGGAAAATTTGGAAGCCAATGGGGCGTAGCCCAAGGGAAATATGAAAATTAAATGATATAATATTAGATTGTCATCCATTTGTGAGCTATGTTTCAAGTCTCTAGCTCATTGGGAACTTAGTATAAAATTGGTTGCAAAATTTGTACCGGACAAGAAAGTGAGCTAATAAAAACGTTTTAAAAATAAGCTAACTCAACGACATTTTCAGTTCTGTATTAAAACAACTCAAATCACAGCTGATTTTTACCAAAGAGCTGTTCTATTCCTCAACAAGTGTTTTAATAATGTAAATTTTATCAATATCGATCAATCAATAAAATTATGTTCATTTTTAAGTTTAACGGTTTTAAGATTACACATAAAACAATGGTTATAAACAACCATAAACAAATTCAGTAAATAATAATTAACATAGTAAAACACATTTTATAATATAGTTAGACTGTAGAAATAATACAAAATATTCAAAGTACACTTTCCTTTCTTGTAACACATTGGTAAAATCCTGCCCATATTTAAAATTTTAAAAAGATAAACCAATTTAATCAGCTTGATAAGAATTTTTAAATAACTAGTACTGTACCAAGAGAAAAGCTTAGTAATGATAGTTATTAAAATGAGTATGCATTTAAAATGGAATTTAAAAAATTAAAATCCATACCAACTATATTGGAAAATTTACCATCTTCCATTTCATTTTACATAATAAATTTAAGAAAATCTTTGACAAATTTTATGAATTTTATCAATATGTTTTAGAATTTTTTAGTATCGTATAAACGCAATTCTTAATGATTGAGTATTTATGTTTAAAACATTAAAAGTACTTGAAGCCATCCGATCCCTCCATATAATTCCATTGTGTAAATTGGACATACATGTATAATAAACAAATTTAGTATTTCTTAAACAAAGTGTTATGTAAAAATTCTATCGATATAAAACATTTGCTAAGGGTGTGAACTGTTTTGTCTTGGAGTAGTATAGTTTTAGGTTCATTGAAGAAAAAGCAGACATGAGGAGGAACTGATATTGTTCTAGGCCTGGAGTGGCTTTATCAGTTAGTGTCTGTCTGTCTGCCAGCAAGGTGGTGTCTCAGTGCTCAGTTTGTGGTCAGTAAGTAGTGAGTGTTAGATCAGAAGCATATGCTGGAATGTGTTATCAGAAAGCTTTAAACATTACCGAGGTTACATATGATTGATAAATAATATTTAACAACTAGGCTATGTAAATACTTGTTTATTAAGTTAGGATGGGAAAATTTCTCAAATTGTTTCCAGATATTCCATAAATAAACTAGCTTAATTTTCTAAATAAAATGTCTCACTCAAATGTGGATGGTATTGTTGATATTATAAAAATTAGTATGGTTCCTATCAGTGTTGTTAAAGATGAGAATACAACTAATTCAAATGTTATGAATGAATCCTCAAATGATGTGAATTCTAATCCTCTTCATAAACTTGATAAACTTATTCAAAACTTTAAGGATTCATTCATCAATGAAACATCAGAAGAGCACAAAAATGAAGTTGAGGTTTTGTCTAGTAAGAATTGCATTGATAATATTTTCATAAGTGAATTTCCACATAAAAGTGAAAATGAAAGTATACAGAATAATCCGGAGTCAAATAGTTTTGAAAATGAAAATGGAATAATGATTCAAAACGAGCCTGAAGGATGCATTCTTGAACACAAATCTATAAATTCGTCACAATCTAGTGATACTTTGGAGTTAACTCAAAATTTCTATCGTTTCCAAAGTGTGTTCAAATCATTTAATGAAATGTCAAATGAGACTAAGATTTTTGAAGGAGTAAACAAAACTGTGCACCATTCTACGGCGACAGAAAAGTTAGAAACTAATGGCACCGACAACACAAATGAGTATACAAATCCTTTTGAAACATTATGTCAGTTGTTGCAAGAAGAAGATTTCAACTGTAGTAAAAATATTCCAAAACCGACTATAGATAAACTACCAGAAACTTCCTCTACCGAGGACACCGACGAGAAAAATTCCACTTACACAACAGTGGATTCTAATAAAACACAAGCAAATGATTTGGATTATACCCAAGGTACAACTTTGCAAAATGACTTGAGTTTTTTGAATCTGGAAGGAACTTCAATCTCCGATCAAGATAGAGAGAAGGCAAGCGAGAGGAACTGTTTTTCAACAGAGAGAGTTTTTATTCTAGAAGGTGATGTAGAGGTAGATATTCATGACGCTATCAGGCGAGACGATGAATTTCTCTTGAAGCAACTGTTGGCCAGAGGAGCTGACCCGGATGAACCAGATTGGAGAAGAAGAGGAGATCCACCAATAGTACAGGCGGCTCTCAAGCAAAACGTATCTATTGTCAAGTAAGTAACTTTGATTTAAACTTTATCAATTAAAAATTGTATAGTCATAAAAACAGAAATTAAGAAATAGTAATTTTTGGTTAAATATTTGTTTTAGTGTTGCCGCAATGTAAAAAATGCTTTCAAAATTAGGTCCATCACTAGTGTTTGCATAAAGTACTATAGAGAAAGCGAACATTACAAAAGTAGTTAGATGTTGACACCATAATTTTATACATAGGACAGGTGGTTATAATTTGGTTTCATTTATTCAAAAACCTGTTAAATAGTTTTGATTTTTAGCTTACAGATTCTTTGCTTGAAAACAAAATGACAATACCCCCGCCGCAGCAAACCTGCAGATTAAGCGAATTTCCATTTGACTGATTACACTGAAATGTCTACTTAAAAATATAACATTTATTCTTGATTTAAATAGAATTAGTTTAACAAGTACTTAGGTTTGCTGCATCAGGGAGGGTAAAACTTTTTTTTTGTAAAATGTGAATAGTTAGTAAGAAATAAAAACATTTTCCAAATTTGATCAAAATATGTTCACAAACAAGCAAACTACAACAGTTTACTTATTCTCCATTAGAATAACATGGGAATTTTAAATTTACAATTTTTTTGAATTTTCTCCGTAACCATTAGGCGCATAATAACGCTTCAATGTACTAAATTATTTGTTTTTTTAAGCTCTACAAAATGGTTTGGAAAGAAATTGCTAAATTTTATGTTTTTTAGGTCAAAAATGGGAAAAACCTATTTTTACCCCATAAAACCCCCCGTAAACCCCCGTTCCCATGGTCCGATCATGCTGGATCGCGAACTCGTTCGAATAAACGTACGTTTACACGTTTGTACCAAATTTCATCAAAATCGGATCATTTTTGCTCGAGTTATCGTGCTGACGGACACATATATATATATATATATATATATATATATATATGAATTTGAACGGATGGTGTTTTTGATCTCTAGGGACCTCAAAACGAAAAAAAAAAATCGGTCCCGCGTCCAGGTCTTACCATGAGTACTACGGTAATAGCTTATTCCCTATATGGGAAATTCGCTAAAAACCAAGAACTCCTTACAAATGCTTATTGCAAGATTGAACATAAGAAAATTACAGGTTTACAATATGTCAAGCTATGTTAATAACATATTTTTTGTTAAACAACCAAATCAAGCATGAAGCAACCAGTTTAAAAAACGAATAACGTGATAATAATAATACAGGGTGTTTTTAAAAGAATGCCGGGATTTCAAACGGTCGTTGCTCGGGGACTATTCAAGATAATTAAACGATTTAAACGTCAAATCGAAGGGAAAAGAATAAAGTTTTTTTCTCATTCTTTCATACAATTCGGAATGATTTAATAACATTCAGACTTTCATCAATCTTATATGAGCGTAAAACCGGCAAAGTCTGTACGCTTAGGGCGATCGGCATGTTTATCTGATGTCTTAACTGAATCTTTTCGGCACAAAGACTCTATCTTTTATAGATAACATCATAAAGTAACCAATTTAGGTTCGTTAAACTGAAGACATCGTGGAACAATTGATTGCTTCGGGCTTATGATGCAGAAATGTCGGATTTCATCGACTATGTCATCGTTTGTTTTTAGCCGGCCGGGTATCTTTTCAAAACACTTCGGTGCCACGAAACTCATTAAGTTAATCATCAAGTAGATTTAAATTAAGTTTAATTTAGCAATGGATACAAACTCTGCGAACCACAGATTGCAATCTGTGCCTTCTGTTGCGCCGTAAACGTCGTACTGGCGACTGGTGTCAGACATATGAGTCACAATAGCGGCCTATCACGCCGAAACTGTTTTACGCAAACCAAGGTCAAAGTTTCCTCCCTTGCTGCACGGTAAACAAAACTTAGTTATTTTAGCTTTAATTTGACGTATAAAACGTTTAGTTACCTTGAATAGTATCCAAGCAGTTACCATTTAAAATCCCGGCATTCTTTTAAAAACCCCCTGTATTTTATTGTAATTTAATACAGGATAGTATAATTGTCACATTTACAATCAAAAGAAAACACAAATGCAATTAGCATTCAGAAAAGATTATGCTGCAGAGTTTACACAACACATAACTCGGTCAATTTTCTTACACAACAAAGTGCTTGTAATATGTAATTGTGTGTAAGAATGTCGTAAGCATGCTGATAGAACATTTGACTATGAATGGGAGTGAAAACATCGTGACTCGGCCGTAAACAAGCAAGTTGTACTCAGCAACTTACGTGCTGACAACAGTTTGTCAATGACCTTTCTTTTCATGTTTACATCAACACAATACTGTCTTGCCACAATATTGTGATTAAAGTATCCAGAGGATAAGTATTAGCAATGTTACGCCAAAAATAAAATACCCACTGCAGCAAACCTGCAGATTAGGCGAATTCCCATTTACCTGGTTAGATTTTCATAAAAATATTCTCATGAAGTTGTTTATGTCATTAGACATACAACAACACTTGAATATACTATTTTTTAAGCCTTACAAAACAGTTTGGAAATAATTCAAAATTTTATGTTTCGGGGGTCAAAAATGGGAAAAACCAATTTTCACCCCATAAAACTTTGGTCCCATAGTGTAATCCTGCTGGTTTGTGAACTCATTCTAATAAATGAAGGTTTACATGTTTGTACTAGATTTCAAATTAGTCCCGGGTCAAGGTCTCACCATGAGATCTACATTTGGGAAATTTGCTCAAACATTATAGAATTTTACATGTAATTTAATAATAGGTTATACAGGGTTAGGCAAAAGTCTGGAACCCCCCAGTTAACTTTTTAACGCGTTGCAGTAGGAAAACCAAACTCAGCACATATTTACAACATAAGAATTGCACTTTTAGCGAATTTCCCTGTAGGGAAGTATTAGCGAATTTCCCTATAGGGAAGTAGCTATTACCGTAGGTCTCATGGTAAGACCTAAGCCCGGGACCGATTTACTTCTTCATTTTGATGTCCCCAGAGGCCAAAAACACCATTTGTTCAAATTTATATATATATAAATATATATTAAAAATCAAAAACATATTTAACAAAGTACCCTTTTAGTAATTATTTTATTTTTCATGACAACATGTTTCGGAACTAAGTCCATTATCAAGTCATTTTTACCATAACCTCATTCTTTAAACTAACAAAATTAAAAATATAATCATATGTAAAAATAATAAAATATAAACTATGTTAACTAAATCTTAATAAATTTTGGTATTAATTTTTTCTTTCTTTCCTTCCTTAGTTTTTCAGTTTTATCGTAGATAGGTTGGTTTAATTTTGGAATCATTGTGTTAAGTATGTTGTTGGGGTCCTTTTTGTTGTGTATATAAATATTTAGCTCTTCTTTTACATTAAGTTTCTCACGTTCTTTTTCATATTCTAAAATTGTTAGATTCTTTCATGTTTTTATAACTGTGGTCTGTGTTCATTATATGGTCGGCGAAGTTCGACTTCATTGATATTTGATTTTTTGATTTCAATGCTTAAAATTAATACCAAAATTTATTAAGATTTAGTTAACATAGTTTATATTTTATTATTTTTACATATGATTATATTTTTAATTTTGTTAGTTTAAAGAATGAGGTTTTGGTAAAAATGACTTGATAATGGACTTAGTTCCGAATGAATGAAAAGTTGCAATTTTGTGTGTCCATGGATGATTCGAATTTTTTGGAATTATTATGTCTGTAGTTGTGGGTTTTCTGAATATATTAAAAGAATGTTTGTTGTTTTGGATGGAAATTGTTAGATCTAGGAAATTGATTTCTTTTTGTTGGGTTTCTTTTTCATTAATACACAGTAGTCAACGTTCCTTTAAATAAAGAAAATTACAAGAAAGAAGTCGACACTATAAAATATCTAGCTGAAAAAAATGGATATAGAAGCAAAATGATTGATAATATGATCAAGAAGAAAATTAAGAAAAGAAATGAATTAAAATCAAACTTAGAAAACAATTCGAAACACAAAGAAGAAAAGAAATTCATGTGCGTCCCATACAACAACAATTTTAACAAAGCAATCAGGAAAACATTCAAACATACCCCAGTAAAATTAAGCTACAGAACAAAAAATAACATTTTTAAAATCATACAAAATAAAACCAACAATCCTATAACAATCAATACAGCAAATATATACAATGCATCTGGTATCTACAAAACTAAATGTTCTGACTGTGACAACTACTACATTGGACAAACCTATCGAAATTTTAAAGTTAGATTCAACGAACATATACAGACATATAAATCGAAGAACAAAACATCAATGAAATCAAATTTTGCAGATCATTTACTAAAATCCAAACATAAGTTTACTAAGATCGAAGAAAACTTAACAATATTAGAAATTGAAAAAGACAGAGAAAAATTGAATGTAAAAGAAGAAATTAATATTTATATGAACTACAAAAATAACAAATCAAACATTTTAAATACAATGATTCCAAAATTGAATAATCCAATATATGAAAAAATAGCAAAATTGAGAAAATATTAATGAAAATAAGTACAATACATCATATAGTATATAAATTAATCAATGAAGACAAAATTATGTTACAAGTTAGAAAAGTTTTATAATATCATATGTTATTTATTTATTAACATATCTTATTTTGATTTTTGTTTACTTTGAAAATGGCCTTAGAGCCGAAACTATAGTCAGTAAATATTTTAATAAATAATTTTACTTGGGTACTAAGTTTATTAATGTTTAATCTTTATTTATATATAGTAGCCCTATTTTTCTATTTTTCATATATATATATATTTGTCCATCCGCACGATAACTTGAGTAATTTTTGTCCGATTTTGATAAAATTTGGTTTGAAGGTGTAAGGTGGGATAAACTTGAATGAGTTCGCGAACCAGCATGATCGGACTATGGGAAGGGGGGTTTATGGGGGGTTTTATGGGGTAAAAATAGGTTTTTCCCATTTTTGACCCTAAAAACACAAAATTTCACAATTTCTTTTTAAACCATTTTGTAGAGCTTAAAAAAACAAATAATTTAGTATATTGAAGCGTTATTATGCGCCTAATGGTTACGGAGAAAATTCAAAAAAATTGTAATTTTAAAATTCCCCTGTTATTCTTATGGAGAATAAGTCAACTGTTGTAGTTTGCTTGTTTATGAACATATTTTGATCAAATTTGGAAAATACATTCATTTCTTACAAAACTACAGTATTAACATTTTACAACAAAAACACTTTTTTACCCTCCCTGTTGCAGCAAACCTAAGTACTTGTTAAACTAATTTTATTTAAATAGGGAATAAATGTGATATTTTTAAGGAGACTTTTTTTAGTAAAATCCAATCAGGCAAATGGAAATTCGCTAAGACTGCAGCTTTGCTGCGGCGGGGGTATTTCATAAAAGCTACAACTTTGCCCCAGCCCCCAAAATGGGGTATTTTGTGTGCAGCCCCAAGTTTTCAAATGTAAACACCTATCATGTGACCCCTCATTTGAAAGGGTTTATCAAGAGAAATTGAATGGCGCAAACCAGAGGTCAATATCGCAACCCTAATCAAAATGGTAGCCCTTTTAATTATTTAAGATGAGCAAGCAAGATATAAAGTCTGGTCACCCTCAGTTAACTTTAAAAATTATATATTTTAATACTGACCAAAAGGTGAATTCTCTTTTTTTATTAAGGTATGCTGAGTTTAGTTTTCCTGCTATAACATGTTAAAAAGTCAATAGGGGATATTTCAAAATGCCTGCCATTTTGATTAGGGGTGCGATATTGACCTCTAGTTTGCGCCATTTAATTTGTCTTGAGAAACACTTTAAAATGAGGGGTCACATGATAAGGAAACGCACGAGCTCTAGGTGTTTACATTTGAAAATTTGGGGCTGCCCCCAGAATACCCCATTTTGGGGGCCGGGTATAAGTTCTAACTTTAATGAAAAGGTGCATTTTTTATGTTGTAAACATGTGCCGACTCTTGCTTACTCATATTAAATTAAAATGGCTGCCATTTTGATTAGGGGTGCAATATTGACCTCCGGTTTGCACCATTCAATTTCCCTTTATAAGCCCTTTCAAATGAGGGGTCACATGATAGGTGTTCACATTTGAAAATTTGGGGCTGCCCCCAAAATACCCCATTTTGGGGGCTGGGGCAAAGTTTTAACTTGGATGAAAAAGTGCAATTACTTATGTTGTAAATATTTGCCTAGTTTGGTTTTCCTACTGCAACGCGTTAAAAAGTTAACTGGGGGGTTCCAGACTTTTGCCTAACCCTGTATACTGTGATATTTAAAGGACTTTTTGTGATTAATTTGCTGGTTTCTAATATGCTTTACAAATTAAATTCCTATATTTAATTAAATATATTTATTCCATAAAGTTAACAATTTGTCCATTACTGTAACAATTTCCAAAATTTTCACAGTAATTTAATATAGATATGACTGGGGAGATTTGCATCTCTTTGGTGCTACCTTTTTCAGTTTTTGATACTATAATATTGTCAATGAGGAAATTCAGTTTTTTAATACTGTATGTGTCTTTTCAGTTTGGCACTATAAACTTTAAGTTAGAAAAATAGAATCTTAATAAATCTAACTTTTATTTTTATAACTATTGTGTTTGACTATTATAAATAATAGTATTATGATACTTATCATGTTATATGTTATAATGTTAATATTGTATCAGTTTGTTCTTAAAATATCTAACTTCTTCTTTGTTTAATAAGAAATGTTTGTATAAAGATAGTTTATCAAACTAATATGGACTTTAACTTGTTTTTCCATTGGGCATTTTTAAGATTTTAATAATTGTTAATTTCAATTAGAATACATGTCTGGATGTATTGTTAGACAAAACATCAATTTTTCTGGTCGAAAAGTACTGACATTTTAATACCTCTACTACATGTTAAAATGAGGGATGTATTGTTAGACAAAACATAAATTTTTCTGGTTGAAAAGTACTGACATTTTAATACCTCTTACGGTACAAAATGAGTTGTGTATACATGTTTTTTTACTTGTACTATTTACTCAACCAAAATGGTTTATTTTATCACTAGGGCCTAAAGTGGCTCTTTTTTTCCTGTGTGGTGAACTATATTTTTCTTCATAATGCATTATAAATTAAATTAACATACAGAGCTATAAAACGAAATAATGCTTATGTAAAGATAACCTCCCAAAAAGACTTCCAGCTTGTTTTCAATTCTGCTATTAAGCAGCTGTTTAGTAAGTGATTTAATAATTTTGTCTATTATAATTGTGTAACAGTACATTATACCATTGATACGTCAAGCAACCAACAACAATAGACTAAAACCTTACCTAATAAATCAATCGATAAATAATTTCTATCAATACAATTGCCATAATTGAAATTTACAACTGCTTACAACAGCTGATTTAATTCCCTAGAGACTAAAAAAGATTTTACTCCCTGTTACTTTATACCTCCAACGCATGCATTAAAAACTACTGTTTTTGCTGCATTATGATGAAAATGGTTTTTGCCTTCTCTGTTAGTGTGTGTTAATGTGATCAAGTAGGCCTAAGTCTGGGGCAAAATTTCTTGACACCTAGGGTTGAGTACAAAAAATATATTTCTGGATTTGTTCATTCCATTTTACCAGTCACAGCTGGGGAATATTGGTTAGGTTGCAATAGACCTGTAGGTTAGGGGTTAAATCCTGTCAAATTGTTTAGGTCATATTGCTATGATAGGTACTTCCAAGGGCACTTTGAACTGTGTAGGTCCACCTATTAAGTAAAATATTGTAGATTTCTTATGCGATTTGATATCTCCAACATTAGACTAGATATAAGATTTGTATGGTATCAACACACCAAAGTACATATTTTAAGAGGATGATGAGTAGAAATAAATGAGATATCACCGGTTTTTTACTAGATTAAGTTGTTTCTAGAGTCAGGACCTATACAAATTCCATTGATCAAATGAGAATTGTCTAGTTTTGAAATTTTGATCCTCTAATTGAATCGGAAACCTGATTTCTAGGATAGCACTACAGTATATCCATTCAACTTTATGAAGGCAATTAGGAAAGCCAATAATTTTTACCATCCCCCTAATATGTTACAAATATTTTAATGTAATATAGGCTATTCATTGACACTATTCAATGTACCAAGCATGTACAGATGACGAATAAAGATATTTTGATTTGATTTGATTTGAATACTTCCAGAGCTCTATGTTTGGCCGGCTGTGATGTCAACTTGACGAGTGTCAGAGGGGAGACAGCGCTACACATGGCTGTGAGTCGTCGTCCCGTCTGTCTGCCACTGCTAGACGCACTCCTGACCGCTGGGTGTAATCCCAACACCCAGGACAAGCTGCGTGGGTGTTCCGCTCTCCACTGCGTCTCAGGATTTGCGGACGACGAGCCTCAAGTTTTTCTCAAACTTGTAGCCATCACCAATGTCAATTTACGAGACCACAGACACAGCACAGTCCTGCACCGAGTCGCAGCGAGTAGCAACAACGTGACATGGATAAAACAGGTGAATGTTTTGTGAAAAATTTGGGTACTGGTAGGCCTACTTATTGGATTTTTTTAAACAAGAGGGAGTGTTTAGTTTTAAATCGTTACCTTGTGACAAGTTTTTAAAACACATTATTATAAAATATAAATATCAGTTAATAAAATAAATGATGAAGATACATCTTACTAAAGTGATCAGTAAGATGTCAAGATCCATACTTACAATTAATCTCTAAGTTAAGAAATATATCCTAAACTCTTGTTGTTTGTTTTGAACAACTAATTTACCACTATAGTTAGTAGTTCATGTCCTTTTTCAGCTGCTGGAGTTAGGAGCAGACCCGAGTGTGCAGAACGACCGTGGTGAGACAGCACTGTGTGTAGCCCTAGAAAGGGGTTGGGAAGCGGGGGCACTGGCTTTAGTGGCGGGGGGCACTGATCTCCACCACACCAACCTCTACCGTGAGACTGCCCTGCATATAGCAGCTAGACATAACCAGGTTAGAATGTGATTTTATTTATTTTTCCAGTGGCAAGAACTAGAAAATTTAATTATTTGTTACCAGTTTTGTAGCCTTTGTTCTTGCAGGTTAGATGTTTCCATCAGTGTAACTTCAGGGAGTAGGGAAGATGTCCACTCCTGTTCCCTACTCCCTTAAGATGCCAATCAGCGTAGGGAAGTTTATCCAGTATGGCGTTCTGGTCAAATAAGAAGAAATACAAAGCTAAAATGTTTTAAACTAACGTGAAATCTGTTCTTAATGTGTGCCAAACCTGCAAAATAACAAATGCTGTAACACAAGACTACAAATTCTTCATTAACAAATGTCTCAGACAAATACTCAACAAGTTTTGGCCAGAAAGAATAAAAGCTATTGAGAAGAGCAAAAGAAAGTCCTGTTGGTGATACAAAAAAGAAAGTTTGGGTGGATAGACCACACCCTAAAAAAGCCAAATGACAACATTGCCAGACAAACCCTTGAATGTAACCCTCAGGGAAACAGAAGGAGAGGGAGGCCAAAGATGACTTGGAGAAGATCCGTACAACAAGAAATCAAGGAAGAAGGAAAGAGCTGGGGTGAAGTAAAAAGGATGGCCCAAAATCGAGTGTGGTGGAAGGCTGCTTTTGTTGCAGCCCTAAAACCCCCATGGAAGAAAGGAACTTAAATCAAGTAAGTAAAAATGGGGGCACTGGTTCTAGTTTGGTGGGGGGTGGCAGATCTCCACCACACTAACCTTTGCCGTGTATAATATTTTTAGATGACTGAAATATGGAGGTCTGGAGGTCAAACCCCTATGACACTTTTCCTTTTACAAGTGACAAAAATGGTATAGTTTGATGTTAAAAAATGTCTGAGGTAACCAATTAGGTGTTAACACTAGTCTGACACAGGCCAGTGTGGTGGCAGCATTGTTGCGGCAATGTGCCGAGGTGAATTCTCAGGACTTGGCTGGCAACACTGCGCTTCACCTGGCCGCAGGACGAGGCTACGTCAACACCGTGCGGCAGCTGCTGACTTGTCCCAATCTGAACCTAGAAACTCACAACTGTGAAGAAGCAACTCCACTCACCTGCGCTGTGGAGAGTGGCTTCATCTCGGTCGTTCAGGTAGGCTTAAGTCTTACAGTAGAACTAGTCCGTAATGTACATATTAGAAACAAAGTATATGAAATTAATAGAAGAAGAGAAAGTATCTAGAAAAACTATAGAAACATGAAATAAACAATGGTCTAGTAGCCACTTATGATACACCACATTTTTTAAACAATATCTGAAGGTTAATAATGGTTTTCAGGAAGACCAATATGAATATTTTTCAATAATAATTCCAGTCAGTATTCTTGTGTGGAATGTACAGGAGTAACATGGCCTAAATGAGAATAATAATGAATTTTCTCATACAATAGCCTACTTATATATATAACTTAACCTCTGAGATTGAATTAATGAGCGTTGAGAAAAATCTTGGCCCAATCCAAGATCAAAACGGATGGAGATTTAGGAGAATGAATTAGAGTTTAGGAATGTATTTAGGATACCAGATATTTTTAAAGACTATACATTCCAGGAAGATGGGAGCCTATTTAATCTAGGCTGGACAACATCAGAGTGAGTTGTGACATTAGCTTAGTTATTGCAGCAATGGCTAAATTCAAATTTATTGAGTAAGGTAGACACGAGTTGTGTAGTTGAAAAAGAAATATTGAATAGTTAATTACGACTGCTACCTTAGTAACCCAGAAGGAAACCCCCTCTTGGCAGACTGTATAAGAGGCAGAAGCACCTAGTTCAAATTGATATTGCATGTTCTGAAATTCTCATGATGTATGTTACAGATGTTGGTAGAAGCTGAGGAGGTGGACCTAGAGCCAGCACTGGACGTTGCCAAGCAGAGTTACCGCAGACTCTCCCAGCCAGAGATGTGTCAGTTGTTGACCAGGGAGCTGGCTCGTAGACAAACGCCTCACCTAACATAACTATCTAATCATATTTTTCATTTTCAAAGTACTTTATTAACATAGAAAGAATGTTTCAATCAATTTCCCAAGTTTCCTATTCCGAGTACATTTCATTAAAATACTATTTTATTAATACCGTAATACAAGAGCTTACAGCAATGAATGGATATAATTATAATAGTTACAATAAATTTATTTATTTGAAAACAAATTTTTGTCAATCTTTTTGTTTGCCCCTTACACATTACCAAATTATCTGATAGTTAATTTTTTTTTATTCTTCTCTATGCTTGAGTCGATTCTTCTGTTTAATCAATATTTTTTAATTGACTTAGGTCTCGGCCCCCCCCCTGGCTTTAAAATTCAATTAACTGAGTCAAGAAGCGAAAGAGAGCAGAAATCAACAACTAAGCGCGTGTAACTAGTAATCAAATCTGTAGGTAGATACAGGAAACGTTAATTATAAACCTGATAATTGGTCTTGAATTTGTGTATATACAAGTGTTAAATTCGTTACTTTGAAAATTACGCTTGTCATAAATAGAAGACTCTTATTCTCTTTGTACAGTCAATCTTATCAAAGTTAGATATGTCTGAATAATAAACTCAGACAAACTGGACATTGAGCCAACAAGCATGAATTAACATTTCAAACATTACTTTTGAAGGACTTATAAATAATATAAATATTAAATACCCCCGCTGCAGCAAACCTGCCGACTTAGCGAATTTCCATTTGCCTGGATTAATTTTTAATTATTAATCTATTAAATTAACATTTATGTTTAACCAGTACCTAGATTAGCTACAGGGAAACTAATAAAGTGTGTTTGTTATTAAAATATCAATAGAATGAAATAAATGAAAACGCCAAGTTTGATCAAAATTTATCCATAAACAAGCCAACTACAACATATTATAATATTCTCCATAAGAATAACTTGGGAATTTTAAATTAACAATTTTTTGAACTTTCTCCGTAACCAATTATTGGACAATCACACTTTGATATACTTAATTATTTATTTTTTTAAGCTCTTTAAAACGGTCTGGAGAAAAATTGATAAATTGTGTGTATTAAAGGTAAATACCCCCACCGCAGCAAACCTGCAGACTAAGCGAATTTCCATTTGACTGATTGGATTTACACTGAAATGTCTACTTAAAAATATAACATTTATTCTTGATTTAAATAGAATTAGTTTAACAAGTACTTAGGTTTGCTGCATCAGGGAGGGTAAAACTGTTTTTTTTTTGTAAAATGTGAATAGTTAGTAAGAAATAAAAACATTTTCCAAATTTGATCAAAATATGTTCACAAACAAGCAAACTACAACAGTTTACTTATTCTCCATAAGAATAACATGGGAATTTTAAATTTAAAATTTTTTGAAATTTTCTCCGTAACCATTAGGCGCATAATAACGCTTCAGTATACTAAATTATTTGTTTTTTTAAGCTCTACAAAATGGTTTGGAAAGAAATTGCTAAATTTTATGTTTTTTAGGTCAAAAATGGGAAAAACCTATTTTTACCCCATAAAACCCCCCGTAAACCCCCGTTCCCATGGTCCGATCATGCTGGATCGCGAACTCGTTCGAATAAACGTACGTTTACACGTTTGTACCAAATTTCATCAAAATCGGATCATTTTTGCTCGAGTTATCGTGCTGACGGACACACACACACACATATATATATATATATATGAATTTGAACGGATGGTGTTTTTGGCCTCTAGGGACCTCAAAACGAAAAAAAAAACCGGTCCCGCGTCCAGGTCTTACCATGAGTACTACGGTAATAGCTTATTCCCTATAGGGGAAATTCGCTAAAAATGAGAAAACCCCATTTTTACCCCATGAAAACCCCCCGTTAAACCCCGTTCCCATGGTCCGATCATGCTGGTTCGCGAACTCATTCAAGTTTATCCCGCCTTACACCTTCAAACCAAATTTTATCAAAATCGGACAAAAATTACTCAAGTTATCGTGCGGATGGACACATATATATAGATAGACTAGCTGAACCCGGCAGACGTTGTCTTGCCTTTGACTATTTATAATCCCGCGGGCTTTGCCCCGTTTAACTTCTTAATTTTCAAGATGATCTCGTTCGCATGGCTCGTCCTGGTTGAAGTTCGTTCGCTACGCTCACTCACCTTTAGGTTGGAGCTCGTTCGCTACGCTCACTCACCTTTAGGTTGGAGCTCGTTCGCTGCGCTCACTTGCCTTCAGGTTAGCTCGTTCGCTACGCTCACTTGCCTTCAGGTTAGCTCGTTCGCTACGCTAACTCGCCTCCAGGTTGAAGTTCGTTCGCTAAGCTCACTCACCTTTTGGTTGCAAATTAGCTGTTGTCATAAATTAATGTAAAAGAAATAATAGTGCTGCACCCTGTTGGTAATCCTTGTAACTTTAATGCTATTGAACATCATAGAACAGAACCAACTTGTTTAATTGAAACAGCTGTTAAGATTCATTAATTCCATTTCTCATAAGGTTAACATGGGAAACTCCAGAGCCACTGGGGCGGAGCCGATTGGACGGATCACAAAATTGATGGTGTATGATAAACCTATTCCATGACATTGTACACGTATGTACCAAGTTTCGTGGCAATCGGTTCAGCGGTGTCTGAGTTTATCACTGCCAAACAAACAAACAAACAAACAAACAAACAAACAAACAAACAAACAAACAAATATATATACAAACATCCTCTTTTATACTTATAGATATATATATATACATATATAAAAATTTGAACGAATGGTGTTTTTGGCCTCTGGGGACATCAAAATGAAAAAGTAAATCGGTCCCGGGCCTAGGTCTTACCATAAGACCTACGGTAATAGCTACTTCCCTATAGGGAAAACACATATTTTTGTCCAACCAAAATCTTATTTAACAGTAAAAAACCTTTGACAAATGGGGAATCTGATGTTAATAATAAATCAGACAAGGGACCATAGTAGCAAACGCTACTTTTTGAAAGTTGTGTATACAAATTGAAATTTAATACACACACACTTTTTTACTCATTTAGACACAGTCTTTCCCTAACTCGATACATATCAACACTGCATTACCATTCTAACCTAAAAACAAAAACACACCAAAATCAATAAACATACAAATACGCAATGTTTACATCAGCTGGTATGTTTCAAACAGCTTATATAAACACTGTAGCACAACTTCCATTAGAAAATGCCCGGATCTTTGACGGCCTGTGGGGCAGAGCAGGTGTGATTTTTTTGCACTTCTGATATTTTTCACACTATTGGATCTTAAGCTTTAAAATGAATCCTCAACAGCCATGCTACCTTTTTCCTAGCTCAAAATATTTCGAGGGGACCGATTCACTTTTGGAATTAAATATATAGATTTAAATGTCCTAAGATGCAATTGTTGTTATATTTTTTACACTTTAAATAATAATTTCCATAAGTACACAGGTTTGTCTTTGTGGGGCTGTTTGATTTATACATCAACGCACATAACAGACAAAACAGTTTGTATTGTGCTTTTAAAATAATGGTGGATTAAAAAAAATGGTTGGAATAAATAACAAGCGTATAAGATTTGTTTTTTATTAGAACCAAAACAAACATTAGATCCAAGCTTATTCAAATCAATCAGTTATTATTTTTAAACAAAGTGAATCCTGTGTTATGGCAAGTATCATAATAACGTGAAAAGAAAACAGGAAGTTAACTTACCATGCAATAACATTAAATGGAATGTCAACTAATTAATCATTACAGGATAACACAAATATTAAACTTACCAGATTGCAACATACCATATATCTTAATTAAATATTATCATACCCTTCCTAGAACTATTTTCCCCAAATTTCCAAGTAGTTGTAATTTATTTAAATTTTAAATAACCAGTAGACCATTGACATTGGCTGAAAAGTCGGAGGATTTGTGTTTTCTAGCCGACAAGTTTATTCAAGGATGTAAATAAGTGGGTTTGGAATTAAATGAGGAAAAAACCAAAATAATAAAGTTTGGACGACATCCCATCAATAGAGGCACCAATTTCAATATAGCCAACTATTTAATTGAACCAGTAGAAAGCTTTAAATACTTAGGAGTTACTGTAAATAGCTTTAACATAGAAGATACAGAAATATTAAGTAAGTTAGCAAATGCCAATAAATGTTTAGGTGCATGTATGAAGCTCCTGTCATCAAAACTCCTATCATCTGACACAAAAATAAGAATATATAAAACCATTATTCAACCAGTGTTATTGTATGGAAGCGAGACCTGGGTCCTATCCAAGAAAAATGAAGGACGCTTGATTGTTTTTGAAAACAAGGTCCTAAGAAAAATATTCGGCCCAGTAAACGATGAAGGAGAATGGCGGATTAGAAAAAACAGAGAGCTACGAGCGTTTTACCAGGACCCTGATATAATAGCTTTGATAAAGGCAAAAAGATTAGGTTGGCTAGGTCATGTATTGCGAAGGGAAGAAGGAACAAGACTGAAGGAAGTATGTTCTGCTGTACCAACTGGAAAGCGTCCACTGGGTAGACAAAAAATGAGATGGTATGACCAAGTTAAGAGAGATGTGAGTCAGTGTGGAGGGACAGTGGAGATGGCAGCGGTGGAGAAGCGTGGAAGAGGCTGATCTACGAGGCGAAGAATCGACTGCGATTTGTAGCGCCCCAGCAGTAAGTAAGTAAGTAAGTAGACCATTGAAATAGTTTTTAAAGAACTGGACAACATCCCACATGAGAATTTAAGTTATGCAGACGACAACAGCGAGCAAAGTATATTCTACTCGGATGTGCAGCTGCCTGATTTAGCGCTACGCTATGTAAAAAAACAACAATCTGCAGCCTCTGTGATTGCATTGTTTCTGAGAACTTGGTGTGATTTTACTTCAAAAGAGAAACAGAGTTAGTCTTTTTCTCTTTGACAACGATGTAAAACAACAATGTAAAACCAATATAGCTTAAAAATATAAAATTGTACAGTTTTGTTCAGTCTATCTTTGAAAGATGGTACAGTTTTTTTTAAGTAGTTTCACTGTTTTTTTTTTGCTTTGCTTATGTTTATATTCTTAAGTAGGTAGGCAAAATTACGATGGTACACCAACAGCATTACAATTTTACGGCATGTCGTTCAATGTTTAAATGACCAACAATCTACACAAAATAACACAATATTTTAAATCTATTTCCATATAAAATCCCACAACATTATACTGATACTTTGTCCAGAGTAGATTGAAGATAAATTTTGGACGAGATTGGATTTTTAGTTCGAGACGAGACGAGACGAGATTTTTTATTTCTCATAAAATTTCGAGACGAGATCGAGACGAGATTTCTCTTCTCATACACAATGGGAAATGCACGTTCGAAATTTTTACCTGATTTTGTAACATTGTTAGATGACTGTTTAAATACTAAAATAATGATAATAGGCAAGAATATTTACAATCTTTCATTAAATAACATCAGCATAACATTTTTTTATTAATCACGCCTAACTTATTAAAAATGCCTACGATTAGGAAACATGGTGATATCAGTTAGGATAGAGTTCAACTTATCCTAAAATAAAATAAATCATAAAATAAAAGCAATATTAATTTTTATAAAATAGTTACTTGTTTTGACTTTTTTTATAGTAATAAAACATTCCTCACACTGCTTACACTTAACAAAACTTCTCAAATGTTATTAAAGTAATATTATTAAAATAATGAAAGTAATATTTACATTAAAAGAATTAAAGTAATATTTACATTAAAAGAATTAATTAAATAAGAACGCCTTCGAAAAGGAAACGCAACTACTACACGCTCCTGTATTGCGGGTATTGCATTGACTTTCTGCAGGCGTTTTTTTAATTTTTTTTTTTTTTTTTTTTTTTTTTTTAAATTCTCGTCTCGATAAAAATCTCGGCCAAAAAGTAATCTCATCTCGTGTAACGAGATTGAAAATTTCCCGAAATTTCGAGACTTGACCATCCCTAAAATTTATTTAACGTCATCATATTTAAGTTAATTCAGGTATTTGAAAATGACATTCTGTTAAACATGTAACATCCTAATTGTTACCGATAAAACTGCTAAGTATTTTAAATCCATATAGTTTTTTTATCTCAAATCTACTCTCAGAAGATCCCCTATATTAGGACGACTTAAAAATGTTAAATTTTATGGTGATTTGAGTACCTTTCAGCTCCTGCATATAGTTTTTCTCGGGCTAGCTCAAATCTCTCCCTCTTTAAAATAGTTCCAAAACAACGCAATGTTCACTTCACTTAGAAGATTCCTTGAACCTGTAGAGGAAAGAGTGTATCCTATCCAGAGTTTGTCCCTTGAACATTCTGGAAGCGGTCTGAGAGCTGAGTAGTGCCTCCAGTACAGAGTTCTTTGCGTCTCGTATCACCTCCGATTCCTCGTGGTGCACTGTCAGCAACATATCCAACATTCCTGCAGAACAGACTTGTGTTACAATATTTAAGCTCTTCAGTGTGAAGGGCCTCGATAGCGAGAGCCATTGACAGTGAGAGCTCTTGGTAGCAAGAGCCAGTAGCGAGAGCCCATAATAGCAAGAGTCTTTAGTAGCAAGAGCCCATGGTAGCAAGCAGAGCCCACCCAAATTATTGATCTTGCAGTGAGTAGGGCTTTGCCCTGCAGCCGCCGCTCGTGAAGGGTTAAAACTGGCTACAGCCTTAATGTGGGAATGAAATGTCTACTTTTATCAATAGTCAGATGTTTCACTCACCTTTCCTGCCGCGTATGTAATGCTGGCCCCACTCCTGGTGTGCCAAGGCACGCAACAGTCTGTACGCGGGCACTTGCGTCGTCTGTGGCGGCTGATGACACAGTGTCACTATCAGCTTCATCACCTCCTGTGGCCGACCCATCAGCCGGAACCACTTGCGGGTGATCTTCTCGTACTTCATGTTGGTCTCACTCATCTGTGTCAGGATTGAGAGTTAGGCTTCTTGAGTGTGATAACAATAAAGTAGTTTTCTCCATTGTTTTTGTGAGACTGCACGGTTGTTTTTACTAAAAGTCTTAACATCATAAGTAAATTAATAAGTTACAAAAGCACACATAATGTCTGAAAAATGTATAAGCTACTGCACTATATGAAACCAAAATGAAGTACAGCTACTGAAAAGCTTTAGACCAACAGGTTGTAATTTAAATTTTATTGTTTTTGTAGCTATGTAAAAATTCCTAAATGTGTGTGGGGTTGTTAGTAGTACGCGAGTCAAACTATCCAAATTCCAAAACAAACAAAAGGGATTCTAGTGTTGTATAGAATATTTAGATGGAAACATAAAGAGCTAAATTATTCTGAAAGATGAACACGTATGTTAAATGGAGTAAACTTCTCCATGATTACACTTGTAGTCACCAAATCCTACGGAAATCATAACCCCTCAGATTAGCATATAACTAGCGTTGCCATACTAAACAATAAAGGAGTACAGCAATAACATTTACAAAGCCATACAGCAAAACTGTACAGCTCATGTACACTGTACAGTAATCTCAAAAATCCCCTTCCACATGCCATACTTATTGACACATTCGGACCAACTTGGAACTCTAGACAGTTATTCCATCAGTCATCATACCATGGGTTTCCAGAAGAAAATAGCTGTGTATTTTCTTTAATAAGTAAAACTTATACAGTATATTACTAAGTTTTGGTGTTGTAGTATATATTTATGAAAAATAAAAGGAAAATGTACTAAATTATGTGTCAGTTTGCCATTTTTTTGTTAAATGCTCAGTTTTTCTCGATGTGACTGGATTTGTCGTGACACGTACAGTGTAGATTTTCATTTATTATAGTATTATTATTGACTAATTCTATAACTCAGTAGAATATTCAACTAGATAAACAAGATTGGTCAACTATGAGTCACTGCTTACGTTCATCAGGTTGTAGAATACATGGAGGGCTCGCAGTCTGTTGTCAGTCGAGGAATGAACGACTGAGTCCAGTAACTTCCTCATTACCAGGGACATGAACTTCTCCTTCTTACCTGTAAACAGAGCGATTCATACATGGTCTATGCTGTTACAACATGGTAATATCATTCTTTCCCAGAAAAAAAAACATCTGTAGGTACCTAACTAGCTGAAACTTTGCTCAATTTGATAAGTAATTTCAACGTTCTGAGGTGTGGCGATCGATAGGAAATATTTGTTAATTTACAGATCAAGGGGCTACACAGGTAAGGGGCTTAACCTGAGGAAGTTTAAAGGTCATGAATACAACTATTTGGCCTGGTACTTACATCTCCCTTAAATAAACTTTTAGACCAGTTGATTCAGGAAACAAATAGATACTCACGCTGAAACTGTCCCTAGTTCTTAAAGTACTGAAGATGTATCCGAAAATTTAAGTAGTAACCAGTTTTGTTTTATGAAAACCTGATTTTATAAAATAGCTTTAAAGATGGGTAGAACAAGACAATCCATTTTCATGTTAAATCTGTAGTCAGCAAAAAACATGGTTGAATAGAGCCGTTGACAAAGTACACTGATGAAATGATATCAAAAACTGAGGAAAGATCGTTTTTCAGCAGTAGTGCACTCTGTGAATGGCTCCATAATCTATTTTACTAAAAAATAGGCTACAGCTCATCCATATGGATGGGATTTCATTTCATTTTAAATAACTTTATTCATTTAAGTACAATACATAGATACAGGAATGGCGTCAAGAGTCATTTAACAAAACTAACTTAACTAAAATACTCATCATTATCATGCATGGCGTAACAACATACCATCAATATTAATAGCTTTTCAGATCAAATAAATTGAAACAAGCAGTGCATAATAAAAGTTTATACATCAAAATATCAAAATTAAAAATATAGATAAAATTATTTTAAAACCAAACGTTTCAATTTAAATGAAATAGAGCAATTAGAGTCGGGACCACATAAGTTTGCAGTTGAGGGAGGAGCCTATTTACCATATGGTTTTGAATGAACCAATGAGAACGGAGCGGTTTTGCCAAATTTTAATAATACCAGCTGATTTAAAAATATTGCTTTGTATATATTAATTAGTGTTGTCATTGGGCAATGTGGCAACGTCGCACTAGCCTCGTCTTGTGATTGGCTGCCACCAACTGCAAACTTACGTGATCCCGACAATAATAACTTATAGAACTAAAACTCTTCAAAGGAGTACAAAGCCTCTTTAATAAGAAACTTTCAATTTTGATTTAAATTTATTTTTGGAAGTTTCTAATTTGATTTCTTTAGGAAGTTTATTATAAAATTTGGAACCGGCATATTTAGGTGTCTTCGTAAAAAGTTGCAGAGTATGTGAGCCAGGTTTTCTCGATTTCTAGTAAGTAATTGTGATAGTCTCCAATAAGTTGTAATTTATTAAATCTGTCTTTTACTGATAATACTTTTTCATAGACATACATTCCATAAACAGTCATAATATTCTGAGTTTTAAAATATTCGTTGACTGAAGTTCTGCGTTTTAAATATGCACGAAATTCTAATAGCTTTCTTTTGCTTTTTTAGAATTGATTTTTAATTTTTTTCTTTTTTTTGCTGCACCATAAAGTGAAACTCCAAATGATATGATTGAATGTAGGCCTATGTACGAAAAATATATAATTTTTGAAGTTTCCTTTTCACATAGCATAGGGGTTTCAATCTTGCTAGCGCATAAAGGCCAGATGAAATTGTAGAAAGTAACTGATCAATATGATGATTCCACTTCAAATTTTCATACATTTCTAATCCCAAGAATTTGACGTGGTCTTTATTTTGAATTGTGTTGTTATTAACTACAATTTTTGGCAGATTTTGCAGTTTAGTTTTTCCTGCTTGGAAATACATAAAATTAGTTTTATCTGTGTTCAAAACGTAAATTATTCGAATAAAAAAAAACTGTTAAGTAATAATATATCAGAATTGGCCTTCGCTTCATGTTCAGCCTAGGTTCCTGCGGTTATTTTTAAATTTGCATCATCAGCATATAGGTAAAGCTTGCTAAAATCACTGGGTTGAGGAAAATTTCTCAAATAAAAGATGAATAAAAGAGGGCCTAGGATCGATCCTTGGGGCACCCCATATTTTACTTCCCGAGTACAAGAATTGTAAGAAATTTTATAATTTTTGTTATTACAGTGACTCAGTTCTACACTGGGTAGAACATGGGTATTCTAGTATTGTTTTCTATCAAAAAGATAAGATATGACTTGAACCAGTTCAATGCAGTACTATTTAGTCCACTGCTACTGAGCTTCGAAAGTAACAACTCAAGAGAAATTGAATCAAAAGCTTTACTGAGTCCATGAACAACCCTACCACTTTAGATTTACTCTCTAAGCTATCAATGATTCAATGAAAGCTGAGGCAGCTGTTATGACAGATCTGCCACTTCGGAATCCATGATGGCAGTCATCAAATGTACCATTATTTTCAAAGAAGCATACCAGTTGGTTATAAACAACCTTTTCATAGATTTTTGAAATTGAAGGCAGCAAAGCAATCGGTCAATAGTTTGATACTGTTTGTCCGTTTCCTTTTTTGAATACCGGTTTTAATTTTGTTATTTTGAGTTTGTTAGGGAATATTTCTGATATCAAAGATGAGTTAATGAGATGGGTTATTGGTTTAAGTAGGACTGAATTCGCTTTTTTAAAAAGAACCACAGGAATACCATCGTAGCCAGCACTATAGGAATTTTTTAGACTTTTAATCATTTTATCAATGTCGCTCTCATCAACAAAGCTAAATTTAAAGCTCTTTTTATCTGAAGGAAGTACAGGATGCAGAGTGTCTTCAACTATTTTTAGGAATGTATCTATATTATTGAAAGTTTCAGTTTCTTTTACAACATCTGCAAAATAATTGATGAATTGGATGTCTACTTCCGCACCCAAAGTCAATGATTGAACTTAGAACTGACTCTGAATAAATCTTATTTCAAGTAAATATTTTGAATTTTCACCAATTGTCAACTTACTCTGTTTGTACAGCAGTCGTTTGCCGTCGATGGTGGAGCCCAGGTAGCCGATGACTTGGAGAGCGAGCAGTACGTTGTGTTTGTCTGGACACCGGAGTCCTCGGACAACTGTGTCTAGACATCCGCGTCGGGTGAGCAGCTCATGAGGCGGCACACTCCTCATGGTACTCACCAGTCGGGACAGTTCTGCAATGTGAGATTACGCTAAACCTGGCCATTTTGATCTTTTGTGGCCGGCTTTTAAGAAATCTAAACAGCTGTACGACACCTGTTTATTTGTTTATTTAGGCATCATGATCACCCTTCCTACGAATTTACAAATGTCACATTATCACAAGAGTGTTTTCACCTCAATTGCACATTATCTGTATTGGTGAGTTAGATCTAAGGAAAGCTTGCTTTAAAGTAAAATTCCTCATAAACATATTGACTTTTAACAAATTTAATACCATACAAATATGTTTTATAGTCCAATACCCCCGCTGCAGCAAACCTGTAGACTAAGCAAATTTCCATTTGCCTGATTTTATTTTTAATTGAATTTATTTCAATAATATTAATATTAGGTTTATTTCCATATGATCGATCTAAAAAAAACAGTAAAAAAAAAGGTTTGGGCTGAAATATGCATAACTTTTTATACGGTACAAATGATTTAATTATAAATATGCAAAAACAGGGTTGATACTAAATTTTAAAAATAAAATTCTCTGACATTTCCAGGTTTTCCAGACTGATTTTATACATTTTCCAAGTAGCTAATACTGTAAGTCGATATCGACTAATCAAAATCAAGAAATATTAGAAAAAATTTAAATATTTAACTTATTTAATCACTCCCAAATACAAAACTTGTTTTAAATTACATACATATAGATTCCTACCCCTTTCCGATAACTATCGATATAAAAATGTGCATCAGTGCTTATGTCGTTCTTTTTGCCATCAGCCATCACCCTGAAAAAAACATGTTTAGAACAAAATGTAGCATATCTGTAAAAAGGTAGTCTTTCAGGAGAAATTTCAGAATTTGTTCATAATTCCCTGACTTTTCCAGACCAACAAAATTCCCTGACTTTTCCTGGTTTCCCCTGACCGTACCAACCCTGAAAAATATTAACGTAAAGAATGTGAGACGTATGAATACAAACAGAAATAATTATGTGTTGAAACAAAATGGGAAGAAATTGGGTTTTTGGAAGCAACATTTTTTGTCTCATAGTTATGTTAATTTAAATACAAGTCTAGTACTATAAAATAAGTTATTTCACTTGGGTTTGCAGTTCATTTCCAATTTAGGAAATATAAATTTAAATAGAATTGTTGTCTTACATTTTGTAGAAAAGGTACAAAAGAGTTGCAAACTTGAGCACGTACCTCTTTCTGATCCGTGTAAATATAGTGGATGCAAATCAAAATACCTAATAAATTCTAACAAAATATGTATGGTAATGGAGTAGAACACATCAACTAAAACATAAAAAAGTCTGTATAAATAATATTATAACAAAAAAGGATTAACAATATACTTACAAAGCAACATCGTCAACAAGCAACAGCATCAATATATTCACATTCAAACTAAAAACAGACAAGAACCAATAAAAATAAAAATAAACTAATAAAACATTTAAAATAAATAATAAAATAGAAATGTAAAAAACTAAACTTAGTGCCAAAGTCCAATAGTTACAACTTAATAATTAAAGTCCATGCGTCCTTTGAAATTTAATTATACTAATATGACCTATACTGTTTCCATTTAAAAAACCCACTAGATTAAGTCAGTATCCAATAGTCAATGGTTAGGTAAAAGTTTTGCCAGGAATAGCCTACCATTTTGGTATTTCCGTAGGACTCTGCAGTCCTTGCTTTTAAAGTTCTGATTTGGGGCTTTGGAAAGTAAATATTGATTGGTCATCATATTTATATTTAATAATAAAATCCACAATGGGTTCAATAGTAAATTCAAAAAGTAATGAATTAATAGATATTCAAAATAGAATAAATTTGGCAAATAGAAGCATGTAAGGATTACATTTTAAAATCAAAATTACTGTCACATAAAACAAAATTAAGAGTATACAAGACTATTATAAGACCAATCCTGCTTTATGGAGCAGATACATGGATTATGGACAAACAAACAGAAAAGAAGTTGGTTTCATTTGAAAACAGAGTTTTTAGAACAATATTTGGACCAGTTAGAGAGGGAGAAGGATGGAGAATAAGGCATAACCAAGAAATAAGGGACATGTACCATTTCTCAGATAGAGTAGGAGAAGCAAAGAGCAGAAGACTAAGGTGGCCATGTATTTAGGAGGAAAGGTGGTAGACTAATAAAAGAAGTTTGGAGACAAAACCCAGCAGGAAAAAGACCTCGAGGAAGACCTAAGAATGGATGGAAGGACCAGGTGGAGAAAGATTTGCAAAAATTGAGAGCAAGGAAAGAAGATTCAGAGAACAGGGAGAGATGGAGGCAGCTTGTTGGAGAGGCTAAATAACACCAGAGGGTATCCATGGCCATGGGAGTAAGAGTAATAAAATCCACGTTTTCTTCTTAAAACGTGATTTGTTTACATTTGTTTACAAATAGCCTACAAATACTATCAATTTTACACCTTCACCATGCTTAATTTTACAGCTGGTTCAAAAACTTAAAGTAAGAAATTTTTTAAACTGAGTGCTTTACTTTTATTTAGCCTCTGGAAACATCATTGGATATAGAAACTAAGTTTAGTTGTATAAATTGGGCTATTACTATAACTCTATCCAAAGGATTGACATCATCAGTGGTCATCATATCATATTGAAAGTCACACGTAAAACTACTAAATTAAAAAATTATATAGGCAAGTGCCTCATTGGTATGATTCAAATATGAAACTCACCAGAAGCGGAATCTTCGACGGATTCGCCACGTGGACTGTGGAGAGGAGGGGTGAATGAGCGCTCTCTGTCGTGTTTCCTCCCCAGCGTCGAGGAGTCAAGGGAATCGCAAGGGGAGGAGAGGGAGGAGGAAGAAGAAGTTAAGTGGACGTCTCTTGTCTCGCTCGACTCCCTGGGTATGTGGTCCAGGTAGAGAGGAGTCATAACGGGTGCCAACACAGGTTGGTTGGACGGCAAGTGGTGGTGATTCTTCCTGACAGCTCGTAAAGGATGGAACGGCTTCGGAGTGGGCTTGTTCATTTCACCAGCTGGTGCTAAAAAGAGTAAATTGTCTCACTATCTAAGGTTAACTTATTGGTGGGAGTTCTTGGATTGATTAAGTTCGGTTTCCCAATATCTCGACACTACTAGCAAATGTGTATGTTTGGCCATGGTTAACCAGTTTACATATAGAAGAAACAGGTACTTTTCAATTAAAATTTATTACAAACCTTATATTTAAACATATTTGAAAAAGAATTCCAGACACAGAATGTACCTGTCATTGTGCTTTAATGATGCTAAATGCCTATGTTGGAAAGTCACAAGACAAGGATTCAGACTTGTCTCTTAAAAAAATTTGGAAATTTCAAAAGCATAAATATAGGTACAGAAAATATTTTTTTTTAGTTGAAAACCTTAAGTCTACCCTGTTGGACCAGACCTAAAAAAAAAGATAGTGTGGGGGGGCCTCTCTGATTACTAGATAAGCACAATATCCACTCAGCTTCTCACCGATGTCATAGCTTGATAACAAACAATAAAAGTTCCAAATACCTTTATCAAGATCCCCGGACGGCTGCGGCGACGTGTCCACTGGTACCACCGTGATGAGGTGACTCATAGCCTCACGCGGTACATTCGCAGGTGTCTTGGCCACACAGTCCAGCGCCTCATATTTGCCGAGGTGCGCACGGCCGTGCGCCGTCGCCGCCAGACTGTGTAACTGCAGGTGGTGCGTTGGCGTCAAGTACGACTCTTTCTTCTTGAAGTCGTTTATTACATCCTCCAAGATTCCGCACGAATGACTCTTCTCTAGACCGATCGGAGAGTTTATGCTCAGCTGCAGAATGAACTGGAAAGAGAATTATGAGATAAAAAATCTTAGGGTGTGTTGCTGTTAGAATGTCAGACTTCAGTGAGGGAGCAAAGGGTTCAATGCTGGTAGGTTCAAGAAATTTTGAAAGGTTTTGAGTGTTTAAAAAGGATTTGATTGAGTTTCAATATACAAATTGCCACTGGTGTAAACATAACAACTTAACAATGCAAGTTTAATTGGTTGTGATAAATAGTAAATTGGTTTGATTTTCTAAAAAGTGTTATTATTACATGGGGTTTATTTTTTAGTTTTATGGGATTTTTATAAATTATCTTGGCTAAAGGAACAGCTGATTTTTGTGTGTACAAAGCTGTCATCTGATTCGTCCAAAGCCCATCTTTGCCCTAAAATACTCCCACCCTAGTGTGTATATGTTATACAAATGTAATCTAAGAGAAAAAGGGCGAAACAAACCTCGTACACAAGTAGTCGCACGGCCACATACGTCATGATGGTCTTTATGACATCGGTAATGTCCGGACACAGTAGGTTCATCAGGGACCGGTGAGTACTCGTCAGTAGTAACAGAACCTGGGGATAGAGAGGCTATAGGTTCAGGCCTTGATTAACTTAACTTAAAGCAGCTTCAAGGTAGGAAAAGTAGAGACGGTAAGTTGCAGGTTAAAACCCCTATAGGCCTAAACAACAAAGTATAGGGTTAGTGCAAATACTTGCTGTTTCTTGGGGAGCGAACTGGTATGTGTGGGACTTCAGTCCCCAAGGTCTTGGGGTTCAAGTCCAGCCAATCACCAATGGATTTTATCTAAGTGATAAGGCTGATAGGTTCTAGTGCTAGTCATAAAATGTAAAATGGTTCCATGCTAGAGCTAGCATCCTGGAATGTGAAGGTGGGACATAAAAAAGGGCTTGCTGCTAGCAATTTGCCGCCTCTAATTTCCCGTCTTTATGCTATTGATAAAAAAGCTTATTGCATTATTTTTTAAACAGCGCCACGGACTTCGGGCTTAAGGCTGCTATGTGGAATCCTGGCACCTGCACTACTTTTTATAAGTAGAGTTCACCCTTGTTCTATACAGGTTCACCCTTGCTTTGCTGTATAAGTTCTATGCACAGGCCTTTATGCCCATGTGGGTGGGTGGGCAAACGCAGGGTAAAAAAGAAAATTTGACCTTGCTCCGTCAATTGATCCTGTGTTATCAGTACTACTATAGTTTCAAACTACTTGGATATTTCTTCAAGTGTAATAAAAACGTCTCGTCTTACATGCAGTCAAACAACTAGTAATGTGTTTTTGTTTATGTGTTTAAAAAATGTTGTGACGAAACTAGCAAACTTGGATGAATGACTATACGTTTTTCACTTTTGACAATGGACTCTATTGGTCCAAAACTATGATAGTGAATATAAGGAGACAGAAAGGTATAACCGATTATAAGCTGGTGAATGATAAACCGGAGTATTTGATAGAAATAAAAGTAATAACAGTGTAAAAAAATGCACAAGTCTCCCAGAATGTCACATATTATACTAAAGTTTACATAACTTCAAGAAGCACTTGTTCCCAAATGGTACACATAAAACGTGTTCTTACCTTAAGCCGCGTTTACACGAGGCCAGTACAGCAGGCAGGTGACGGAGCAGGTTACTTGCCTCTAGTGTATTTCATGTTACCTGAGGCATGTAACCTGCCCTCCAACTTTCCTCGTGTTTGTAATTGCGGCTTTAGATTATTTTATGTATCTTATAACTCACCCATTTAGTTCAATACAGTACAATGCTCATATTTTTACGCTTTTAGCTCGGTAATGGTGTGGAGGAAATATACTAGTGCCGCACCAGGTAGAGCACGATTGGCTATTGTTTACAACAGCAGTTGTACTGCACGTGCTCTTCCTACAGCGTGAACACTATAGTACGTGATAATGGGGGGGGGGAGGATAGTCCAAGTGGACGACCAATAGAATTTGACCAAGACATAAGCGACTGGTGCTAAAAACTACCTAAGTGTACCGTTGAATGTTTCCTGTGTATCTTACTTCTCTGTGCCTCTTGTCACAATTATTCAAAGTGCCTACAGCTCAAACTTAGTTGAAAACAGTGCAATACTGACTGTAACACAATCTCGTGCGACTCTCTGTTCCTTGTGGGCCAGGTTCTCAATCATCCCCAACACGGCTTCTAGGTCTTCGCTCAGTTGTTCAGTGAATCGCTTGTCATTGGCAACCCGGATGAACTAAAATTTAAAAAATAAAAATGATTCAATACACAATTAATTGTAAACATAAATCGTTAAGCTACTACGTTAGAATGTCTGATTTATATTGTGAGCCAAAGGCAATTGAAGGATCTATATTAAAGTATCCATTCATACTTGGCTTAAAATACCTACTTTGTATGGTCATCATTTCAATGAAATGATCATCATAAGCAGACAATTTTACCTCAGTCTATGCTTTGGGTAGACTATCACTAATGCAATAAAACTGTCATTGGGTAAAAACTAACAAAAGTTTCATGTAAATTTAAAAGAAAGCATTAAAATGGTCTGTAGTGGCTCAAAATTAGATTTAAAATCATCCACATGTGCAGAGGTGCCCATCCCCCCCAAACCCAGAGGCGCAATCCTCCCCCCAAACCCAGAGGCGCAATCCTCCCCCCAAGCCAAAGGAGTAGTCCCCCCCAATTTATGCTGCCGTCTATTTAAACCTACCCTCCCCTCACCAATTTATCTGACAATTTTCCCTTTACCTCATAAAACAAGCATTTAAAGTATTTAGTAAACTTGAGGTACGAAAAACAAACTTGCTGATAATCAAAATTAGATTTTTAATATGAAACGTCATTTAACAATACATCAATATAAATCTAACTAATGGACGAATTAGAAGTTTTTCAATTTACAATTCAGAATCTGTATTGTCAGCCAATATGTGTGCTCAGTATTGCAATAGACAACGTCTTCAAAACGTACAACAATATAGGCCTACTCGGTGAATTACTCTACTCCAACACAGTACTGTAACTGTACAATATATTAGGTGGCGTTAATTTTTACAGAGATTAAGAATTCAAACAGCTTTAAGTGCATTAATAATATACTTTTGGCAAAAAGTATACCTATTGTTTCACAATTATAGGCAGAGTCACGAAATAAGACAGACTCGTTGCTCGCCACTCCCAGGCTGCCTTCTACAAAAATCGCCGGGCAAAATACCCACAATATCTCTTTATAATTGCCACCAGTACAAAAGGTTTTTGTGACGAAGTAATCTTATAATTCATTTTGATAGCCCCAGGATTGCCTTTTATGACTAATAATGGTAGAAACGCATCTTGTCAGACAATCCGTTTGTACATAAAACAGGAAACGATAACATATAGGCCTATTAGATTAATTCACGCGTGTATATATTGCCGCGGGCAGGACTGGAAGTAAACTGAATCAGGTAATGACGGAAAGACGTGGTCTCTGGATTGGTGTTTGTGTTATCAAAAGCTGAAATTGGACTAATTCTAGTGACGGAGGAGAGTGTAAAAAATATAATGGGATTCATAATTGATTTTTCCATTCAAAATTATTGACAATAATAACCAATTTATATGCTGGATGGTCTCGACATTCTACATTACTGCAGAAAAGGAAATTTTTAAAATACTTTGAGGAGTTTGAAATATACATAAAACTATTGACAGCACAAAATTTTTTAGTGAAAACAATCAATTAATTATGAATCCCATTATATTTTCAATACTCATCTCAGTCACTACAATAGTCCAATATCAGCTGTTGAAAACGCAGACGACAACCAAGACCACGACGGTCCGTCATAACCTGAACCTGATTCAGTTTACTTTACTTACTTCCAGTCCTGCCGACGGCAATGTACGAATTGACAGGCCTATCTGTAATCGTTTCGTGTTTTGTATTAGATGTTTGTCGTATTCTGACGACACCTTCAGAAGTGGATCTTTTTTAAATCCTGACGATGGTGGAGTTAAAGAACCACCAAAACATATGTAGCAAGTAAAATTCGACACTGGTATATTAAGGATTGTCTGGCAAGGTCCGTTTTTACCATTCTTAGAAGCTATCTTAATTACGAACGGCCAAATGTTGGTGGTGATAGTGAGCTACTTAGAAACACTTTTTCGGGCTGCTTATACAATTATACATTCATTATGACAGCTAGCAAAAAAATATCCCCCCAAAAATTCCTGTGGCGCGTTTGCGCCACAGTACCCCCCTCTGGGCACCCCTGCACATGTGAATTTAGCTATAAATAGAGTACAAAAACACAGGAAAAAGTAAAGAATGGGAGTACGGTACCTATACGTCAATTTTAATTTGAACACAAAAAATCCATGCAGAAAACAAATCTGGATTGTTCTCCGTAAGTAAAACAATAGGAACTAGATGACTGCACTGTACAGCTATATGCCGGCAAGACACATGGTTGACCATAAATCTATACTATTATAAAAAAGAGGTGGTTGCTGTATGTATGGGAAAAGTAAACGCGAAAAATACTGGTCGGATTGGGCTGAAATTTGGCATGATGATAGCTCACATTCCCGATTAACATATAGGCATATTCTTATTTCAAAAATCCTTTCGGGCTCCGCCCCAGTGGCTCTGGAGTTTCCCATCCCATGTTAACCTTATGAGAAATGAAATTATTGAGCGAACGAGCTAACCTGAAGGAAAGTGAGCACAGCGAACGAGCTCCAACCTAAAGGTGAGTGAGCGTAGCAAACGAACTTCAACCAGGACGTGATTGAGCCATGCAAACGAGATCATCTTGAAAATTAAGAAGTTAAACGGGGCAAAGGCCGCGGGTTACAGCTAGTAAATAAATAAAAATGTCTTTATTAAGCGTTTCTCTGGTACACAACAACTTTTGTCACTATGCTAAATATCTTATTCTAGTATTTGGCCATTACACACGACCATACTGTGGCAAGGGATGGCTGATACTTGGGCCAGGCCGTGTCTTGAACCACACATCACATTAAAAGTGTGCGATTCATCGTATCAAATAGCCCTGCCCTATCAATGGTTTATACACTCCATATCTATATGTTTTAAGGTTAGGCTTTACATTGATTCTTTACCTGTTTAACAGCAACTTGGACAACTTTTGTGTGTGAATGGAATAGAGCCTGTTTCAAGCTGGAGAGATGTTCTTTCATTAGTATTTCAGGATCAAGTTGATTCATCAAACTTTCCAAGTCAACACAAGTCATTGAAATTCTTTCACTGGTAAAATAAACAAGTCATGTAACTTAAATGCATTAGCATTACACATACAAATAAACTTTAGTATTAACTTAATTTAAGTTACCGGTACAGAAACCTAGAACTTAACTTAAAATAATTTATTTTCTATATGCTGTTCAGTGGAAATTTTGCATTAACTTATCACAGACAACATTTTGTGAACAATTTTAGGCTATTTGTGTAAAATGTTAAAGAAAATTGTCTATGAAAATTGGTTATCGTAAACAAAGATTATAAAAATAATAACAGACCAATGAACTTTGTTGACTGTTTAAGTTACTAAAGTTTTGTAAAAATAGGCTAAGTACAGTAAGTTAAGTTAAATTAGCCTAACTCAACAAAGAGTAAGCAGATAGACATTGAATTTCAAGTTCAGAATTAAGTTTTTCATTTAATATCCAGATATTTAATTCCATAGAAAAAATCTAGAAAATATATATACAGTAGTTAGCAATTTGGGAACTCGAAGAGTGGCATACCGTAGGTACTAATTTTTCCCCTGCCCTGGGTGATTTAAAAAAAAATTGTTATCTGTTGTACTGAATCTAAAGTCGCGTTTACACCAAAGTTTAGAACTAAAAGTTTACAACTAAATGTTGCTCTGAACAAATTTGAGAAACTAGTCGAAGATTTTTTGTGGAAAACCAAAAGTTGCTCCTCACTAATTAAGAGCAATAAGTGGAAAACTTGTTGCCAAAGAATTGGCTACAGCCCGACGTTACAACCGGTGTGCGTGGAGGGGCCAGGGGGATCAGTTCTCCACTAGTTTTTCACAAGTTGCTTGAGCAAAGCGCGTAGTAACTAGTCTTCCACTTTTTGTTGTAAACTTTCTTTGATCTTTACCAACACTCTGTGGGAAACCAAAATTTGAGTGGAAGACTTGTCTCTCCACTAACTAAGTGAACGACAGAAAAAGTTGCTGTATTTTGTAAAAAAAGCAAGTAGTTTCCACAACTAGTGGAAAACTTAGTGGATGACTTTGGTGTAAGCCCTGCTTAAACCTAACAAAGAAATGTTTTAGCATTCATTGAATTTTATGACTAGGCTACCTCAATTCATTAATTATTATGTGGTAACTTAGAATCTTTGAGGGCAACCAGTGTCTTATTGGGCCGGGAAAGTATAGGACAAGCTTTTCTACTTTGCTTTTTCCAAAGATCTTAAATAGGCCTATTGGTAAGGGACCTGTATTTCCATAACCTTGGTGACCATTCCCACACTGGAAAATTTGCGAGGCTGCAGTTTTGTATAGAGCCTACGATATATAATCGGATGAATAACGGTAGGACACATCGAAACTTGTTCGAGGTTTGATGTATTGATTATACAACACCGAGGAATAGACCTATGCAAACATCCCACTTAAATGTTTCATTCAACATTATTCAGAATCAGAATAATTTATTTGTCATTGGACATTACAAAAATACATTGACAATTGTCATGTGTATATAGGATAGCTACAGTCAGGCTAGATATTGCAGATAACACTGTCTAGAAGTTAATATGTTCATTTAACATATGAGGTGTCAGCTCTGTGGATTACCTAACAGTAACTTATGGATTATGACTCAACAATCAATAAGTACATTTTATTAAAAATATATGATAATTCATCAAAGAATAAAGGGTAGACTTCCGTATCTGTTGGCACAAACAACCAAGTTAAAATGTCGATCGATATATCGATTATTCGATATATCGCTTGCTTAGTTAGGTAAGGTTAACCTAACCTAACTAACCAAACGATATATCGAATGAAATAATCGAATAATCAATATTTTCATTCGGTTGTTTGTGCCAACAGAGACAGAAGTCTACCCAGAATAAATTAGGCCTATAGAAACCAACAACATTCAATATATTGATAACAGAAATTGGTATTTATTCCGTATAGGTGCCTCCAAACGAATTTTTAATTTTGATATCTTACTTTATAGTTTTTTACCTCCTGAATCCAAATATACCATTATTTTTCACCGCTGATGAATATTTCTCAAGATATCGCCGTAAACACATACTTAACATTACAATAAACAAGATAGGATGGATAACATTTCAAATGATTCTGTAGTCAAATAACTTAGTGTTCTCTATAATAGGAATTTCGTCACATTATGGAGATATAGATGGACTGGTGGACTAATTACATGTAGTTCTTATTAAGGCATGTCAGGGTGGTAGGTCGTGCTGTATGTGAATTGGTGACTGCATTAAGTTTATGTTGCCTGCAGACTGTTTTTGTGAAATTAAAATCCTGAGAAAAACACTTCAAATTACTTTTTCAAAAATGCTTGCAACATTATTAACTTACATTAACAACTTGGTACATTATAACCTACACTTTAACTTACCTAAACCTACTGTACCTTCAAAGGACTTAATGCAGTCACCAATTCACATAAAGCACGACCTATCACCCTGACATGCCTTTTCTGACATCAAAAGGAGTTTGCTTACTCATTCTAGAGGTTTGTTTAGGTTAGATTATGTTAGAATAGCGCCATTTTATTATGTAATTTCTAAACTGTGAAATATAAATCAATAAATTATTAATAAGGATAAAATACTGGTAACAATAATACATTATTAACTTATTGGTCTTAGAAAGTGAAAAGTGGGCGCATTCTGGGAACATGTACCGGTGCACCGATGCAGATTAACCGGTGACTTATTCACCGGTACCGCCCTGGGGCAAGAGTCTTGGTATCCCATAACGGTTATTCACCGGTTTAAGGTACACATCGGATTATAATTAACACATTCACCTATAATTTACTTTATAATATTTAAACCAATCAAACTTGTTCTCACAGAATATATTATTTGAATTTTTCACTTAATACGTAATACAACACCCTCATAGAATAAATTGTTCACTTTACGCAACATAACCTATAAAACTGATGAACATTATTCAATTCTATGGACCCACCATCTTGCCGTAGCTGCATCTGTTGTCGTTGTCCAAGAAACTGACCAATCAGATGCCGCCGGTGTATTATGCACCGTACATTTTCTCCGGTGCATAAACCTTGCACCGGTGGAGGAAAAGAGGAAATAGCTGTCTGCTAGGTTAACTAACCGGTCTCCCAGAACGACACATATTTTGCACCGGTGCACCGGTACATGTTCCCAGAACGTGCTCATTGTAACGGACGCGTTGCAGAAAGTCAACAGTCCCGGAAGGTCAAATAATTTAAACCTGTGCCGCTAGGTCAAAAACTACAATGTTTGCAGTGTCTGTAGATCAAAAATCCCAGAAAGTCAAATAGTACAGTCCGGGCTAAAAGTTTAGTCTATTTTAAAGCAATTGACTTATTGGGAATTTGACTTAATGCAACAGCAGTTTTAATATAACGAAATAAGATAAAATATAAGTTCAGTTTCGCTGAGTCAACAGTGCCGGAAGGTCAAAAGTATAATCTGTTAAAAACAACGATAGTCCTCTCGACGCATGTCTTCAATAATTTCGTGTTTTGGTGTTCTTAAAGTTGTGCTAAAATTTTGAAATTTGGCACAGAGCTTCTTGGTTAGTCCTACTCGATGACTATTTTGTTGGAACTTTAAACTATTTACCGATCTAATTAATAAAAAATGATTTGTATGGTGAAATAGTTTTAAATCGTGATTTCTAACATGAAAAAGTTAGCATGCGAGATTTTTTTTTGTTTTTGGGTTAGAGAGGTTTTGTCTGTGGCAAAGTTGTAGCCAAAAGTGTAATGCGTAAAATATATTTTTTTGAATTTTTTACAATCAGTGGTTCAGTAGATAACTTGGGTTGAAGAGGACGGCAAATGTAGCATTTCGCAACGCATGGAAAGAACTACATCGTACGATGCGACTGCTGAGTGGACTTTTAATTTATCTAATTTAATTTATCTAAGGACAAGAAAAAGGTGAATATACAGATCACCAGTACTTTCATATTATTTATAAAACATCTTTCTTTATTACCAGCTAACATTTTTCACTTATAAGAATACATCATAAACAGGGTGTTAACATAAGCGGGGAGATACTTTACCTAGTAATTCCTTGGGTCAAAATAAACAGAAAATCAAGGATAACATTTTTTCCAAAATAATTTCGTTAACCAGATATCCGCCATTTTGTATTTTTTACATACAAATATTTATCTTTGCACTTTTCCAACCGATGTTTATCAAACTTGGTATGTATGTTAAGGTAGGAGAGACCCATGTTATAAACAAAGATTCATCTCGATTCACCCTAAAATTTCAAAATTTAACACTTAACTACAATATAATATACTCTACTACACCACAATATTTACGTATCACCATAAATCTTTAACAAAATAAAACGTTAACATTTTTAAAAACCAAAGTAAATCAATATAATATTTCTTTTTTGAAAAATATATTTAAAAAACAGGCGATGGTAAAATAACGACAGGCGAGTTTCGATCTGGGTGTTTCAGGTTTGAATCTAGGAGGATTTAACATTAATTAACATTAATGTTTAATCCTCCTAGGTTTGAACTGATTGAGAGGAATACATGAAACCGAAGGGGGGAGGTAGCAACAAGTGCACTAGTATTTACTAGTGTCCAATTACAATTTGATGGATTTAACCAAAACCTTTTCTATTTCACTTATTTTCAGCTGTTAAATTTCAAACGATACGTTTTAGCGACATCATTAACGTTATTATCATCATCCTCGTTTGAGTTTGGGTTTGCAGCAATGTATTTTTATGAATAAAACCTTTAATTTGATACCAAACTTGACCTCTGCTGCTATTAATTTACTGTATGCACTATTAATTAACAGCTGTGTCTAAGGATTATGTCGGCCTTAGTCACAAACAGGACAACAAGATCGCTCCACTCATCCCACACTCATCTCCATTCATACTTGGCTTAAAATGCATACATTTTGTATGGTCGCCATTTCAAAGCAACATGGCTACATTATCAATGACAAACGTGGAAAACCTTATACGAGTGTGAGTAA